CTGCATTAAAAAAGTGGCAAAGAGAAAGCCACTGTTTGGAAAAAAAAAAAAACATTCACCAGAAGGCATGTGGGAGCCTCTGAAGTCAACTGGAAGAAGGTTCTTTGGTCTGACAAGACAAAAATTGAGCTTTCTGGCCATCAGACTAGACGCTATGTTTGGCGCGCACCAAACACTGCACATCATCACAAACACATCATCTCTGCTGTGAACAATAGTGGTGGATACTTGTAACTCCTTCAGAGGAGTCATGGGTGTCTTGGTGGCCTCCTTCACATTCATATTTCTGGTACCGTCACTTAGTTCTTGAGGACGGCCTGCTCTAAGAAGACTGTACATGTACCATATTCCTTCCATTTCTTAATGATGGATTTAGCTGTACTCTAAGGGACATTTTGTGACTTTTTCATTTTAATTTTTCATGTATCCATCCCGTCTGTCTCTAAATGTGGCCCTGTGATAGACTGGTGACCTGTCCAGGGTGTCCCCTGCCTTCGCTCTAAGTCAGCTGGGATAGACTCCAGCCCCCCCGCGACCCCAGTGAGGATTTAACAGTGTATAGATAATGGCTGGATGGATGTATCCATCCCTGGACTTATGCTTTTTAATAACATTTTCACACTGGACTAACTATACCAGGGGTGCCCAATACTGGTCCTCGAGAGCCCCTATCCAGCATGTTTTAGATGTTTCCCTCTTCCAACACACCTGATTCACATGATCAGGATCGTTATCAGGCTTCTGCAGAGCTTGATGATGAGCTGATCATTTGAATCAGGTGTGTTGGAAGAGGGACACATCTAAAACATGCTGGATAGGGGCTCTCGAGGACCAGGATTGCCCACCCCTGAACTAGACCTTCCAGATACAAGTGTCTTTATTTTTTATTTCTATATTCTTAATGTATTGTAGTGTATTGTAGTATATTACTTCATAGAAATCTGTTTTCACTTTGATATTAAAGAGTCTTCGAAATTCTTTTTTACAGGTACTGTAACAAGGTACATTTACTCAAGAATTTTCTTTTTGGAGGTATTTGTATTGTATTGTGCTTGAGTATTAGCATTATGCATTAATTAGCCACAACATTGAAATCGCTGATGGGTGCAAGATCATTATATTACACTGTTCTGCTGACAAACCTTGGGTCTTGGATATCCGGAGGAGGTTACCTTGACACGTACCAACCACTTAGACGTTGTAGACCAGGGGTGTCGGACTGCGGTCCTCGAGGGCCGCAATCCTGTATGTTTTAGATGTTTCCCTCTTCCAACACACCTGATTCACATGATCAGGATCGTTATCAGGCTTCTGCAGAGCTTGATGACGAGCTGATCATTTGAATCAGGTGTGTTGGAAGAAGGAAACATCTAAAACATGCAGGATTGCGGCCCTCGAGGACCGGATGTCGACACCCCTGTTGTAGACCCTTCTTTCCCCAGCAGGACGATGCTCCCTGCATAAAGAGCCCAAGGCAACAACTTGGCCGACAAACTCCCCAGATCCCAATCCGGTTGAGAATTCACAGCATGTACTGGGTCGAGCCTCATAAACAGAAGCCGCACCCCATCACCCACAGGACGCTAAAGATCTGTCACCATTATTGTGACAACACAGAGGTCCCATCTCCATGCCAGATGATTCAGAGCTGTTTTAGCAGCAAACGTGGGTCCAACACAATGTTAGGTGTGTGTTTTGGTTTTTTGTTTCTTTTAGAATTCAAGTTTTTATTGAACTTTTCAAAGGCTTGGTATACGGCAAACTTAGTACATTTCTCCATACAGGAACAGATTGTATTTAGTTGACAATTATCTCTGGCGACAGACTTAGCACATTTTTGTCTCAAAAATAGGCATTAAATTGAATAGAAAATTAATACATAATATCTACTAACAGGTACATGCACAGTATCCGTAGCCTCGTAACCTAGTGGGGGTCATTATCTACCTTTATGTGGTCCCACAACCTATCCCAAGGGGTCACCCCCTCCCCCTTGTTGTCACTTAATCTACTAAGCATACATTCATAGGATGCAGTTTCAGTCACTGACCCATTCTTTCTCCTGTGGGCTTTCTGATACCTTCCAATGTCTTAAAATTACTCTGCAAGCTGTTGTTATATCCACTGAAATTACAGAGAAGTTACTTTTGGTTGTATTGGGTAACTGAGACTCATCCACCAGTAATCAGAGCTCTGGATTTGAGGAGATTTCTGCTCCAAACCAGTTACTTAAAGTATCTAGAATCTAAAAAGGTCTGATTAAAACACATGCAGTGGAGGAAAGTTAGGCATGTGGTTTTAATGTTGTGGCTGCTTTATGTATACTCTTACTCCCATGCATATATTTTAGATGGATAGTGTAGCTTTTACTCTACACTTATGGCACAGTAGAGCTGAAACAATGAACTGATGAGCAACAGTCATCTATCAAGAAAAAAAAAAGGCCAAACATTTACTAATTTTAGCACCTGATTACAATGACCTGCTGCTTTTCTCTGTTTATTTTATGGCACTATGAATTAAAGTCTTTGTTTCTGGACTTTTAACTGAACTAAAAGAGCAGAGGAGTAGGAAGTACTTTTCTTTTATACTTTTAACAAAAGTATTGGAAAGAAACTATACTTCACAGTAATAAACATGGAAGTACACATGATGCCCATTTGTCATTGTATTGGAATACAATTATTGCTAAATGTAAGTGCTCATCACTTTGTTTTTGCAGCTGGTAGAGGTCAGACTGATTATTATTATTACTGTAAATGCTGCTGTGTAGCTTAAACTTCAATAATACATTTTATAAGTATGTTTTGTATTTCAAATTTTATACATTACTGCACTCTACTAATTCATTTCTAGCAATTATATATGTAAATGGATGCAGGTACAAAATTTGCTTTTGAATTGCAGTAGAGTGGAAGTATAAAGTACCAAAAAGATTCAGAAATATTGAAGTACCTCAAAATGGTATTTATGTACAATAGTTAAGTTAAAGCACTTTCCACCACTGCAAAAGAGCAAACTGAAGACGTGAGCTCTGAGGATCTGTGCAGGCATGTCTGACACAGTTATCAATAGATCAACTGGTTTTAAAGACACAAATGTGACGTACAAGGATCAACTTAATTACATTTTAAATATTAAAATACTGTGCTTTTAGTTAAAGCATATAAAGTATAAATTAGTTGGACCTCTCTGTGCCTATTTGTTTATTCATATATAATAGTTTTAACATGAGCACTTAAATATTTTCACTAAATTTGCAGTGCTTCTGCTCTTTCACTGCAGGCAATCCTGTATTTATTGCATGTTTTCTTAAACTGTGGTATCACTGTCAGGATCCAAATAATTCTTCCACCACTGCTCTAAGATAAAGTATTAAATGTGCCATCAGCTGCTCTTATTTGTGTACCTGTGGCTGCACGACGTGGATGCTGTTGTTGGACATCAGGAGGATCTTCAGTGACCACAGTCCGATGAAGGATCTGGTGCGCACCTCTGTCAGCTTGTTGACGCTGAGGTCCAGCAGCCAGGAGCCGTGAGGGACGCTGGAGGGGACCCGGTCCAGGCCGCGGGACTTGCAGTCCACCAGGTCCGAAGACTCGTAGCACAGACAGGTGCTGGGGCACAGCTTGAATCCCAACGCAGCGTTAAGGAGGAGAGGCATCACGCCGAGCATTGCGCAGCTTCTGGCAGACATCTTGTTTGGATCAAAGTGTGTTCACTCCTGCTGAAAGGCAGGCAGCAAATTCTCAGACAGACATCCAATATTCCTGATTAGAGAGGGATTATAGGCTTAAACAGATGACCACATAACATAACCATATCAGGGGCACAAACCTGGTCTCTTTTGGAGCCTTTCCTAAAATAAGGATTTGCATCTGCTGCTGTACATGGATATATTAAGCTGTTTTTCATGATAGCAGTTATTTAATCCCATCACATTACATAAGACGCTATGGATTTTTGTTCAGGGCTAAATCTTTAACTGGCGAGGGAGTCAACTTGTAATCCATTATGGTTCAGATGGCACTGATAGTAACATTGCGGAGGTCTCTACAGAGCTTAAATCTCAGCATCTTTTGCAAATTCCCCCCAAAAACAAACAGTCTCATGATTTCCAACGTAGAAACCACAGCACTACTATCTTTGCAGATCATTCTGGGAAAAGAAACACCGCTTTGATAAAACTAATATCCATCAGTCTGTAAAGGTTACAAAAAACTCTCTTGTACAAGCTTCTAACAAGTGAGTTTTGCTCAACTAAATCTGACATTTCTGGGCTTGTACTGTAGGGAAAAAGAATAATTATGATGTGCATGCATTACTGTTCTGACATTTTGAAGAGCAGATTTCTTCAATTAATCAAGAAAACACTCAGATTATAAAAATTGCAGCCTTAAGACAACCACAAGTCATCAGAGCACAATCGACAAACATGAAACCAAACCAGCCTACCTGAAATTCAGCTCTACGTCCATTCAAAAGCACAGAAAACAAAGCATAAATCACTGCTCATCTGCAAGTACTTCCCCACACAAGTTCAGCTGCATTAGCGGTATTCATATAACTCAGATTTACTGTCAAGTGGTCGTCGCTGCCCAGAGGACTGAACCAAATGTCATCAAGCAGCATTAAAGAAACCAGCGGCTTAAAACATTTAAATAATTAATCTGAAAGACTTGTGGCGTCAGTTCCCTGTAATTAAAAGGATTACAAGACTCCCAAACAGCACCAGAAGAGAAACCTGAGTGTTCCTCATACAAATGTGACCTGATGGAAAACATGGATATCGTTATACGTCACCCCGAGGCGGTTAGGGACAACTGGGAACGAGTGTTCAAGCAGACAAATCATGAATTTGCCTTAAATACGTCCTGCAGCTGATGAAAAAGCAAATCATTCTCATTATCTCCGGGTTAAACCAACAAAGCAATAGCACAGTCTGTTAATTCAAGTCATTCCTTGCAAAGCCGCTCAAAAAGTTGTTGAAAATTACAGTATTACAGTCAGAATTTTTGTTACTTTTATTTTAGAAAATGTCCTTTAAAGTGTGGCATTTCAAGTCACATTTTGTTTAAAATACAGAAAATACAGACAGTAGAACATGGATACAGCAAAAAAGGAAACAATGACAGAAAATAAAGCTAACAAGCCTTTCTGACTGCTCTAGTTTTCTCTTTTTGAAATGGAACTGAAGGCAAAGGAAGGAGGGCGGAAAAAAGAAAAAGGCTTCAGGGACAGGAGGGGAGGAGTGGGGGCAGAATGAGACAAGTTAGTTAAGGAAACTATGGTTGCTTTATGGTTCATGTTTTAAATTATTCTTTATAAAGTCTAATTTAAGATTTAATCTTTCCTCTTTCTTTTTTGTCTTTTTCATTTAATGGTATTTTGATCTTCAGGATCCAGGGCCCTCAGCGCTCCTCCTTGTGGTCTCAGACTGAGGACAAGGAATGCCGACTTAGTCTGGCAGTGGGAACAAAACCACCTGCGTCGCCTTCCCCGGCCGACCCACACTGCCAACTCAAGAAGATAAAGTGGAGTCCTTCTGTGTTTGCTGTGCTTGTGAACGTTGCATGGACTTCTGACTTTCCACGTCTCTAAAATGTTTCTCAACCTGCAGAGAGAGAGAGAGAGAGGGGAATAAATACTGATGAGTAATGTGGAGAACGATGCTGAGAGCAACTCGACTCTACTGCACTTGAGCTGTGTCTTGTATCACCTCGAGCTGCAAACTAGACGGTTCTTCTGTCTGCATCGTTGTACACATGTGAAGGATGGTTTTGCAAATTTTGCCGAATTTGTCTTAACTCAAAAAAACTGAATAAAATAAAAACAGCTGTGGTAATGGAGCAGGTAGTAACTGGGCTACTTTGAGAAGAAATCAGCACATGACTACACTTATTCACGCTGCAGCCTACTGTTTTCAAAATTCTGTTTCTTTTCTCTATGATTTCTTTCCCAGAGAGGTTTGTCTCAAATTATTCTACATCTTGCTCCTCTGTGATTGCAGGCTTTCCATGCAGCTGTTATGACCAACAGAGAACAGGTTCAGTGGTGGTTTTCGGCCACTCTTCAGCAAGTTCTGCATAAAACTTGTTTTTTTTTTTTCCGAGTACAGCCTTCAAGCTTCTGCTGTAATTATTAATAATAAGATATTTTATTTATAAAGTGCATTTCTGAACACTCAAATAAGAACAACATGCAATTCTTCTGCTGTCCATACTGACACTAAAAGTTGATTTTTTGGATGACCAGGCAACACACTTCCTCTCCATTTTGCTGGTTTGTTTCCACAGGTAGTGTACACGCCCGCTGGTGACACAGATGTAGTCATACTTTTTGCTCAGACCTGACTGAAATCTGGTTCTTACTGGAAACTGATATTTTAGTTCCAGAACAACTTGTCTGTTTTTTTTTGTTCAGAATCAAAGTTCCAGACATTTGAACCAAACTGCGCTTTCAAAAAAATAAAGTCTTCTCAGTGTGACTGATTGACTGGAACACTAAATGTGACAAAAACTAGTTTGTTTCACGCAAACCTCCTCAACACAAGTGCACACATTCCTACAACACATATTGACACTGTTTTCTGTTTAGAGGTTCTGTCCAAGTAAAGCCTAGTCCACTAATGTGTCATTTTGTTTTGTTTTTTTGACTATCCTTCTATTAAAAAATGTAAAAAGACAACTTAAGAGCATGTCAAAGCAAGACGAGGTGATAGAACTCTAACCCTAAATTATTGGCCAATTAGAAGCCTGAAAAAAAGCAATTACTGGTTAGCAGGAAGCCAGCAACAATGGTGCACTGAGAAAAGAGGGAAACATGTGGACGCTGGTGTTATAGGGAAGAAGTCACTGTACATTGATATGTACAAGTCCTGTTAGCGATGGTGTGCATATCAGAATCAGAATAAGAAATCATTTATTGATGCCAAAGGAGAAAAAATCTTGGACATACAACGATATGACATCGCAAGTCAAAACATTGTTGTTTTCACATTAACACTACAAAATGAGTATCCAAAGATCTTGGAGGGAGTTTTCCAAAAGCTTCCCTTCAGTGACCTAAAACTGTGTTTGCATGTGGACCATAGTTCATAGAAAAATTTATGTTTAAAAAACGGCCAAAATAGAACCGCGTGGACATGACTTCTAGCCCTGAAAAACAGGAACGCTTCACAGAGTGGGTGAATTTAAAAAGCAAGTCTTACGTTGTATTGCTGAAGCACTGCACTACGTAGTAGTTTTTCAGTCGCCCTTGCTGATAAGACCACAGCTCAGGTAGATGAAGGTTGTACTAACTTAGCTACGAGGCCAGGAAGCCCAGGAAAATGAAGTGCAGATGTGATATGAAGGGCTAATAATCAAACAGCAGCAGATGCTGAGATAAACTTTACTTTGATCTTCTCATGATACATGTGGCGTTTTATTTCAAATGGCACAGAGTCAACCGAAGTGTGTGTCTGCTACCAGAACAAAAGAGAGATGAGATCTGACTTTTTTCTACACTAAAGTTAGATGAGTTCACTTAGGTAAGGAACTTAACACAAGCAATTACAGAATGTCCCCAGTGGACCTTTGAAAGTTCGATTCTTTTTTCTAAATGCAGGAAATATATCAAATCCTCCATCCAAGAAGAGGCTGAGGATGGGATCTGACTTCTCAGGAGAACGAGAATTTGCCTTCAAGCAAGCAGTGATGCCAAAAGTCTTTTACTAAGAGCAGCTAAAGAAGAGCTTTAGATAAAATTGGGAAAAAAGAAGAAACAAAATCCTTTTATCTTTCAGTCAGAAAACAACATGATTAAAAGAGAGTACACAAATCACGCGTGCCATCTGTGTTTGCAACTCCGAAACTTCTTTTTCTAAAATATAATCTATGGATGTGACCTGCATCGTGGAAACAGGTGAAGTCACAGAGGTCGAGGGATTTAGAGATTTATTACACTTTATCCAAACCTGCATGCAGGTTGGACACACACATAACATTTTATTCGATATATAATGAAATTGATTAATAGTTCAAATAACACATGCAATGTAGAAGTAGAAAGCATACTTACTATTTTGCGTACATGACTTAAAGCGCTTCCCTCTTTGCCTTTGCAGTTCTCAACCTGGTAAGGCGGTGAGATTACGACGTCGTCCATCACAATAATGTTCTTCTCCTGCCATTTACAGTCTTTGATGCTGCAAAAAAAAGGAAATTTCATCTTATCTGTAGCTGAAAAAATGTTCTATTCATGAAACCAATATTTTCGGATCAGTGTTTATAACATTTAAGCCCCCATTTCTCAGGCAACACAATGCAGTAGAATTGTTGGGTGTCTCTCTGTAGTACTGTTTGACCTCACTACGTTTAGAGCCCTGAGATGACTTGTGCTGTGAACTGGTGGCATCTAAACAGAACTGAACTGAATTGAATTACAGCAGGTTAAACAAATGGGATGTTGGTCATGTGGTGCGTAATTGCTTGAAAGTGAAACTAACAGCAGATAGGTTTCATATTTCCAAGAAACAAAAACAAAATTAATTTAACACTTTGGAGTAATTCAATTTTCCACGTTTAAAAACCTTGAAACATCTAATAAAACAGAGCAGCAACAAAAGGTTATGACGGACGTTTTGTCATTAAATCATGGTGTGACCTTTTACTGAAGCTACATTTGTTCTTTAAAGTGGGAAAACGCCCGTACAGGTGTCCAGTAGCTGTCTGATACAGGCCTGAAACAGGCTGGGATCAGATATCGGAGACTAAAATCTGATACCATCAAATGCGTCACAAAACGGAAGATGTAAATTTGACACAAAGTTCATTAACTTCCTACAGCAGCCACGGGAGGGAGACATGACAGGAAACACTTGAATGTTTTGTTGTTTTAAGCTTAAAAAAATAACAAAAAACCCCCTACGATTGACCAAAAACACGTTTGACAGTTTCCACCCAGATCGTTTAACAGCAGGTTTCTTTTAAACCACAGAATATTTCTTGATCGACACAAAATGTAGTTAAACATTGTGTTTTAATGCCTTCAAGCTGCCTTTAAAATTGATCTGGATTCAGGCAAAACCTGACTCAGCTGTGTTAGAGAAGTTGTGTGCTACATAAAACTTTCTGCCTGAATTGCTACGACAAAAAGAACAAGTTTATAGACTTGTTTCCGAGGCCACACATAAAACACGCTGAAGAGAAGATGTCTAAAGTGGGGTTTTATCTCTGGCAGCATCAGGGATGGATGAGAGGTGAGGCGTTTTTATCAAGCCTCAAAATATATTTGTCACTGCTACAATTCGGGAAATCGCTTGCATTTTTATTCCCCTGACAACATATGATATATTTTTACTTTCTATTTACTTCAAAAATACATTTCTATGTGTGTGTCTAATCCATATAGCGTTTTTCTCTGGGAAATAAAAGCGCTGGCAAATGCTGGGGAGCTTGAAGGAAATGACTGGGTCTTCTGACAATTTGTGAGATATTCAATGAAAAGTGCTCACAGCTGCTGCACAAAAACTGTGGAGCGGTCTGAAATAAAGACGTTGGGTGCAGTGCTTTTTCTCTGGGTGGCCACATACGCTCTCCCCATTTAGAACTAATTTTTTTTAAAAAGATGAAAAAAATGATATGTGGACACTTAGTTCAGATCAGCAGTATGTTTCTGCTGAACTGTTGGTTTTGTTTTGAATTGTTCTCTTGAATTTTTGTTTGGACTTCCTCCTTTTGACACTGGGAGGAGAGTTAAAGGTCTTCATGAATCCATTCTGTTCTTAGCACCCAAAACAACACCCAGGACTTGCGTCAGACTGAGTCCAGATTCTGTTTCATTGAGCAGGATCCTGCTTAACGGTACAATCCACTGTATTTCTGCAGTGTAGCATCGTTTATGTGGAAGTAAAATGTGTGTTTTAAAAACAAGGGGGCGATATTAAACGAAGTTGAGGGAAATTGATGAGTATCATTCTTAGAAATAACATTTCTGCTGCCCGTGCTGTAAAACTTTTGCTGACAAACAAAATGCAGCACTGTTTCTACTGTGTATGCAAATAATGACCTAATCAATCAAATGTTGATCTGTTTAAGATATTCCAGTGTCTGTTTCAGATAGTGTCTGAATGCCCTCTGGTTTCTTACTGAGTGCGTTAGTAGTATCAGGTAGGAGGTCCATAGGTTGTTTGAGAATAGAACAAGAAGACCTTTGAGGTGAAGTCAGTCAATAATTGATAGCATAAAGGACTTCAAGTCGATGTTGACCCTGCTGACCTGATGAGTGACTGAACAGCAGAATGAAGTTCTTACGTTTTGTGAATAGTCTGGAATAGCTGTTGGCCCTCCACAGAAACCCCAGCACTGATTGCATAGGCTTGGGACAGCTTGTCCTCCTTTTCTGTCCGTGCTCGATTGGCAAGCTGTGAAGAGCAGAACAAAAAGCACTCTTAACATCAAATACTTGCTTTGAAACGGAAACAGCTCCTTGTTTTCGACTGTAGTGAGAAAAAACTCGGGCCACTTTCAATGCAGTCTGGTTTTTAAGGTTTGAATTCGAGAAGCTCAGAATTTTGGTTCCATAGTCCAGACTCTAGAAATGGACTCTTAGATTAACATACCAGGATTAGAACAGTGACTCAACTATATGAATGTACATTTCACACTTTCACTCATTTGCATTAACACTTATTCCCACATAGGACCAGAGAGGGCAGAGTTGATCCAAGTATGACAACACCTTCAACACATCGCCAGTTACTCACACGGCTAAGTTTACACCAACTATTTATTCTGCTAATATAAAGACACATCTATAAACATACACAGACTGTCATTGCTGCTGTGTCCCAGTCCAGTGGCTGGATCCTCAGTTGTCTGTATTTCTAGATCAAATGTGTCACCTCATGGCCTTCAGCAGCCCATTGATGAGAGCCAACTACGTATTTCTAGGAGCGTTCGGGGCAAGTCTTTGACCACTTGTAAAGTCAGAAAATATCACATAACATTGAATCTACCAGGTATTTGCAGAAATGTGGTCAGTCACTGACAAAGTGTAGCTGAACTGAATAAATAAAAAGGCACTGCAAGATGTTTTTTAAAAAGTTTAATATGTGCTGTGGAGAAAACTTCACAACTCACCTTACTGGCCTTTTGAGGAAAAAAATGGTTGTTACAGACATGGACATTTTTAACATCTAAATCCACAGGCATACATTTAAGGGGAGATGCAGAGGATAAATCCTTCTTGATATGTAAAACTACTGCATTTGTCCTGTTCAAAAAGACAAGAGGATCAATGCTGGCCTACAATCTTGTGCAGGTTAAGCTTTTGTGAGCCACTTCTTCTAGAGGATCCAGGCCTTAAACTGAGTCACAGTCCAGACTAACTAATGAGCACCTAATTCAAATGTTCAGTTCCTGTGTAACTGCCGATTTATCCGACACTGAAATTCATCACCCACCAGAGTACATCAAGGCACAAGCCTACACATGTAAAGAAAACAAACAGGACTTACCTTGCTAACATTCAGTGATGCTAGTGGGGGTGGAGTCTCAGTGCGGTCATTTATTATGTCCACATCAGAAACATAGGCTAAGTTGATCAGGATGACGTCGTTGAGGTTTGGCTTACCACTGGAGGAAGCACATTCTTTGGAGGCACTCAAGTCAAGGCATTTACAGAACAAAAATGATTATTGTCACCAGACAGCTGAAGGACTTGAACGCTGCCAGTTAGACTGCACAGAGACACTTGGAGAGAGAGCACTGGCTGCCCAACACTGACAGTGAAAGGTAGTGCCAGTTACAGCATGTGACTACCAAGGCAGTGCTGCCACCTGTAGTATCCACGGATGAATGGAGGCTTGTTAAAATCCTATGGATATATATACAGCTGGGGAAAAAAAAAAGTCCACTTTCTGAGATTGTGGAGACATTTCTTAGCTGAGTACTTCACTAAATCAGTTGTGGCAGCTTTACTGGCTTGGCCTCCATCCACAATTAATTCTGACTTATTTTATGAAGTGCCCCATTAATAAATTCGACTCAGCCACAGGTTCTGGATCATAAAGCACAGTGGTAACAGGTGAAATCCTACGTGTCAGGAGGACATTCTTAAAATACACATATTGCAAAATTCTAAACTTACATACACACCTGAAAGCTTAGATTTCATAAACGCACATGGTCCATGACCACTAACAACAGCTTTCAACATACATCAGCTGACAAACTGCTCTGTTTTGTTTTTTAAGACACTGATGCAAAAACATAGAAGACAATATCTATTACGCATGAAAAGGGGCGGATCAGCCTGATCGTAGTTTCACTCTGAGCGCTACTGCACATCATAAATCTAAGCTAGGACTGCATGATTTATCACTTCAGCATCGATATCACGATGTGATGCTGCAACTTGCTGAAATTAACAAAACTCACACAGTTCTCATGTTTTATAACTAATTTATAAGAGGCGCCTGTCTGATAGAACTCTACTCCAATTTAAGGGCTCTTGAATATACACTTATTTTTAAAACTTTAAACATGCAAAAAACATAATGAAAACATAAAAAGGAAGATTTGGTTGCAAACAAGAAAGGCAACTTATGTAAATAGCATGGCTAGAGAAAGGAGGACATTTACAAAAAAACAGGTTCTCTTTGGGCAGTTTCTTGCAACATGAAACGACACAACTAACTTGTTTGACCATTTAAAATCAGCACAATAAAGCTCTGTATGACAAACACGAGCCAGATCTGAAAGCCACCCAGAGCAAAAAACTATTTCTGAGGCCTTTGCCAATGTCATACCATATGTGAAAGATTCCAATCTGCTTTTTAAATTTATTTATTTTTGCCTTTAATACAGATGTACTGCCCCTCAGAACCACTCTAATCATTCTAGACCAACTAAATGATTCCAAATAGAGTTTTTAAAGTTATTGGACAAAACATCCTGTATTTTGTATATCACAATGTCAGTTTTCTCCAATCAGCCCTAATGTAAAAGAAAGCTTCAGGTGATTGTCCAGGATTTACTAGTGTGCAGTCTGATTATGGTAAATACACTAAAGCCTAATTTGAGTGCCAAAAAACTTAAACAGAACACCATACAAACTGAACTGTCAAAAGGGTTAATACAAACCCAAAGGCCTGCACTTCCAACAGTCATAAACCCTCACTGTATTAACTTCATTCATTTGATGTCCACAGCTTTGACCACGTTAACTAGATCGCAACGTCTGTACAAATCATGAGATGATCCCAAAACTTCAAATTCTATCACATACATCCACACACGCTCCCCATGAATGGGTGTAGACATGTTCACCAGCAAGCTAACGTTGGTTGTAATTGACACAAGATGCTGCCCCAACTGAATCGCGTTGAAACAAAACGGCATATGTGGCACAATTCATCCAAGAATTCCAGTGTCACCAGATTCACATGGGACAGGGGAGAAAGGCCAGCTGATAAGCCCGACAATGCTAATACCGTTAATTGAGCGAGCTAGTAGCGCTAGTGTGGGGTTGACCGAAACTTAGCATGTTAGCAAGTGAGCTAACAGCAACTTGATTGTAGCGTGGACGGGCACTCGGTGTCCATTCATCCCCGGCTTTTAAAAAAATAACCATTAGCACCTCCGAGTAACGGCACCACAAACTACGGGAGGTAAATACGCGCACAAGAGCCGGAGCGAGATGCTCTGCATGTCAGTTAGCTTGCTAACTAGCAACGGTTTGTGCCTGTTGAGAGCACACAGCCATGATGCCCTTACTAGGATTCGTTGCCAGATAGTGATCCATGTTGAGGTCTGGCAATACAATGAGTGGATTCAAAACACATGCACTTCCCAGCAGATAACCTAAAGCCACTAAATGACCGGGCGACACCAACAGCGTCCTTAACACATAGCAGATGGATGGGCACCTAGCTGCCAAATTAAAAATATTTTAAACGGACAAAGATATGTAACTCAGCTACCACCAATTACGCCTGCGCGGATCACTATTTGACATATTTTCGGTTACCCTACGGGCCCTTGCAGCCAGGCAGGCCAGCGAGCCATCCGCGGCCCCAAACCAACAAAGGATACTCAGAGTTAACATCTTGGACTGGTAGTCAAACGCGACCACTTCTCCTTGCAGACGTTGGCCCAAGCAGGTGAGGCAAGAGACATGGCTCCCGACGCTGAAATACTCCCCCGGTCCAGGAGCCGCCATCTTCTCCGCCAGGAAACCGGAGCGCCTGCCTTACGTAAAGCGACGCGATGTCGTAGCGAGACGGAACCGGGGCGTGTCGAAGTACGTCGTGTTGTGGTCGTTTAATCCAACGCGATGAATTATTCTTCTCTCTAAATCGATTTAACGTCCTTCTGTTTCACTAAACCGTCCTCAAAATGTTCTGACTGCCGATTAACGTTACACCTAATTTTATTCTTCGATTTTTAAAGGTGTGGCTTTGTCCCCCATTCAACCGCCTTCCAATCACACAGCGCCCCTTGCTGGAGGTGTGGCGGTACTACATGTGCATCTGCCGCGCATCCTGATGTCCACATTGAGGGTTTCATTTTGATTTTCACCCACACACTCTCGTACATGTGTCGGGAGTAAAACGTAGGAATGGAGGCGGTTTATACTCAAGGCATTTGGATGGCCGAGAGTCTCCAAGAGAGGACGAGAAGCCAGGAGAGGTTTTGGCTTGTTGTGACTCACATTGGAGACCCCAAAGCAGCCTTTCTGCTCGTCTTTCCTTTTACATATTTCATCAGCAAACGAGCCGGAGTGGCGGTGCTTTGGGTCGCAGCCATATCGGAGTGGTTGAACCTGGTGTTTAAATGGTAAGGCTACAAGCAGCGGAAGGCTTTTTAACCGTGCAACTTAGCATTTGCACTGTTAGCATGTAGCTAAGTAAACTTTTCCTATGAAAGTTAGAGGGTGTTACTTTTATATAAAATGTCATGTGTGGTTTTTCCTCTTTTAGTTCATATTTTTAACAATGAAATTAAACTTAAATTTTGTGTTTTAGCCTGTTGACGTTATAACTTCCGGGATTTGCAACGCAGTCCAACTCAATATACTGTCCGAGGCGAAACAGAGAACAGCGGAACCTTTCATCGACAGTGCAATATAGAAGTTATTCGCATTTTCCCGTGATATGAGGGTTGAACGATGAATCAAAAAATACTATTAAAATTATAAATTTCCCAACAGACCTCAGTGACATTACTTCTCTCCATCAACCTCCCCACTACAGACATCACAAAGCATACTTGAACTTTTAAATAGGATTAATGTTAATATCTCTCTTCACATTATAAGTTGTTTACACCACATTGATTTTGCACATTCCTGCAAAATCTGTACATCTGTTTTGCCTAAGTAACATTATGAAGATTTTTATTACTTTTGTAATGCCTTGTATTTGCTACACTTGCTTTTTATTTTAATTTTTTATTTGCTTTTAATTACTCCTGTAACCCTTACTGTATATTTCACTTGCAAAACTTGTTGCCCCCCCCCCCCCCAGTATACACTAAATCACTAAATCAGAATCCTTATATGTGAAAACCGACTTGGCAATACAGCTGATTCAGATTCAGATGTGTCCCAACATACCATTGTAATTTAAAGCTTTGTGTTGCTACAGAGAAGCCCCAGCCTGTAAATCATATTCTCTAGACACAAGGAAACATGCTAGTTTGGTACAGCAAAAATCACATTATTATTTCATGTTTGTTGGAGTGGAAAAGAAATACAAACCAACCATTCCTACACAAGTAGTGACTCATATCGCAACAGCAAAATTTGTCAAAAATAAACGCAATATAATTTTGTTCGCCACTGTTTCCTAAGACCCTGTTATTAGAAATGGGGATTGAGTGTCAGAAAGTACTCCTCACTGATCACAAACATATATAAAGATGAGTTGTTGAAATCACAAGTATAGATTTAATCCAAATGAGGAACATGTTAAGCATTATTAAAACAGCATCTGCACACAAACACACAAAGTGCTATTCTACAATGAATGCAGATGGAATAAAAACTAAAATATTACAGATGAAATGCACACTTCTTGCACATATCTTGACTGAAATATTTCATATTTTGTTAGTTTCCAATTGCCATAGCCTTCAGACTCCACGTATTTTATTACCAGGTTCTGTGGGAGTAGATAGAGACAAGGTTTAGGAGAAACTGGCAAAAAAAGAGCTCAGGATTGTGGCAATAATATTTTTTAACACATTGTTTGTTGAGCTAAAGCAAAACCATTTAGACACCCTAAAATATAAACATTTTGGTTTGAAATGTGGGATAAAGTTAATAAACTCAGGGAGTGATGTAGATTTACAACTTACAGATAAAAGTATTGATGTAGAAAAACACATTAAAAAGCATCAGATAAATGTAGGGCTGAAGGATATGCATAAAAAAGTCATGTTGTGGTTATTTTTGACAGATTTGATCGATATGAACCATTTTTGTTTCATTTCATGTGGAAAATAAACTTAGAATGATGATGGGATTTTTGCTGCTGTCTGCACCAAACAGTAATGTTCCCTTATGCCTGGAAAATATGATTTATACGCCAGAGCATCTCTGTAGAACCAAAATACTTCATTTAAAATGGTGTATTGTGACACTTTTTACATTTATCAAAAACCTGCAGTTCCTCAGATTGGACACTGCACTTGTACAATTACACAAAGTAAACAAACAAAAATCTGTTTAATATCTAAAATCTGAACAGCACATACAGTCATGATGTTATAAACTGCATATAATGGTATGTTATACATTCATTACAGTTTCCATAAATACATCTGCTGGTATTTGGTGTAAATCTTTCCTTTACCCAGGATGCTGTTTGGAGAAAGACCGTTCTGGTGGATCGGTGAGTCACGCCTGTTTGTCAACCAGCAGCCCAAAGTTCACCAGTTTTCATCCACCTGTGAATCCGGCCCAGGTGAGAGGTCCTCAACTCTAACTAAAGCAAGCATGAGTCATAGACAGTGCACTTGATTCATCATACAGTCAGAGCTCCAAAGTTGGCATCTGTCTCTCAGGCAGTCCGTCGGGACATGCGATGGTGACGGCAGCAGTGTGGTGGGTGGTGGTGTCCTCACTGGGACCATTCCTGTACTCCCGTACTCGCAGGTTTGCCCCTTTAAAGCAAACATATAAGCTATTTTTGTTAGAATGTATTAATAAGTCTCCTTTTCTCTGTGCCGTCAGTGTGCTGTTATCAGCTGTTCCCTACCTGCTCTATGTGGTGATGCTTGTTCTAGTTGGAATTTCCAGGATCTTCATCCTCGCCCACTTCCCTCACCAGGTCGTCGCCGGCTCCTTCACAGGTCTGAAAGCAGTATCACGCGCAAGCTGGAGAACAGACAGGCTCCTCAGTCTCAGTATACACAACAAGAGTTTCTTAAAGATGATGATGCAAAAAATTACATTAATCCTAAAATAACCTGAAGATTTCATGCTGATTGAACTGCAGCATTTCCCAAGGCTGCCTCAAACATTTAAATACGTTAACCACAGTTTAGATGCTTTAAAACATCTCTGACGTGTAAAAAAACATTTAAAAAGTACATTTTTTGTTACAAATGATTGACTATATCCTGTCAGGTTTCATTCTGGGGGTTGTTCTGAGCCGCAGAGTCCCAGAAGGTCGCCCCCTGTTGTTCTTCTTTAGCCTCAGCATCGGTCTGATGCTCGGTGCCCTTACGCTCTACGCTGGATTACAGCAGCTGGGAATCGACGTCTCCTGGTAAGCGTGCAGTGATTCTTTTAAGTGCATAACGAGCTCTGTGATGTGAAAAAGCTCGACTGGACGTATTCTATTCATCCAACAGGTCCATTGCTTTGGCTAAGAAATGGTGCAGCCAAGCAGAGTGGATTCGTTTGGACACAATGCCGTTCTCCTCTCTGACTCGAGACTGCGGGGCCCTTCTGGGTTTGGGATTGGCTCAGTACTGGAAGCCCGGCGGATGGTCCCTGCCTTGGGCTCCGAGGGCTCTGTCTCTGGCCTTTTCATCCATGGGACTGTACCACGTGAATCGACTGCCGCTCCCGATCCAGCCGCAAGGCCTCTTCTACGGCCTGATCTTCGTCAAGTTCGTCATAGTGCCTCAGATCGTCATGGTGCTCGTGCCCGGGCTGGTGCACCTCGTCACACACAAGAAGAAGAAGGACTAGAGATGAATTCCTCCACATGCCAGACATGTCTTTCACACTTCCAAAAACTATGGATTCCTTCTGAGTTTCTGTAAACACTTTAAATGTCTCTTTCGGGGCTGCTGCTGTGGGTGAAGGCTTTACTTAGCACTCCAGTTTGATTCTTGATGTCTTAAAGTTTACCTTACAAGATTTATTTTTACATTTTTGTTGAGTTTATATTTCTTTAAGTGTTGGGGTTGGAAATTTCAATGTACTACATTTGTGTTAAGTGTAACAGAGTCATAGTAAGTGTTATTGTAAATTCTACAGTATTTTTTTCCGAAATTACAAGCTTATAACTAGAGACTCTTTGTAAGGAAAGTGCCGCTTTAAAGCTTTCTGCATCAAACAGTATGATATACTACTGGAATAAACGATACTTGAGGCGGGGGCTATCTGTCAGCACAAGAACACTTTAGAAAAAGATATACTCTCGTGCAATTTCAATCATCTGCAGGCACTTAAGGAATGTTTCAAACCTTAGCCTTGAAAGAAAATGCACTTCATAAAGGTCTGAGGGCTTGAACGTTGTTAATAAAGCGAGAATAAGTGGTCAACAATGTGCAATATTCTTGTATCTTAATGTACAGAAGTTTGATAATCAGTTGACACACTGTTAAACTGTTTTGTGGACCAAAATCATCCAAAATGGAAAACTACAGTTGTGCATTTTACACAAATCAGTAAAATAAACGACTGACATGCAGGACGTGTTTCAGTTGGTAACCATTTATAAATATGTCCCCCTCCCCCCCTCCCCATACATGTTTGACTGTACAGATTACAATCAGTTATCATGAGATAAAAACACATTCTTTTTTATTGTTTTTAATTAAACTTTTTATCACAGCGATCTGAAAGCTCACATTTACAGACAAGAGAACTCTGCTCAGCAAGCAAATACATTAAAATAAAATAAAAGAACCTTTTTGTCTGGTGAGGTTGAAGGAAAATGATAAGGATAGTTCAGGGATAGCAGTCTCCTTATCTTAATCCGAACGTCGTATCACACACCAGAGACACTGCTATACATGTTTCTGCTTGAGCTCATGGAAAGAATAGAACATGCATCAGACTATTTACAGCAAACTAATATACACAGACAGCTTTGAAACCATACACCCTCAAATATCCTCAACTGAAAAAAAAAGTTGTTTTTAAATTAAGTATGATACAGTTTATACCTTCATTTCTGTAAAGATAAGTAGGGCATCTCTCTGGGAGCAGGTGAAACTGAGGATGAACAGGAGACAGTCGGGAAGAACGGTCTCTCTCTAGATATTCTTAATCAGACATCCAAAATAAAATGTTACAGACAAATGGTCTATAACCTTTCCCACATAATATATATAAATAACTTGAATATTCTCATTATTCCACATCTCTGTAACCCAAACTCTGCGTGTCTGGATACTAAAATTTCAGTCTTTGTAGATTTATTTTTAAGATGTGTGCAAAACCAGTGGATTAAACTGGCGGATTTAGAATTATAGGACTTTAATGGATATTTTCTTTAATAATAATGTGGAATATTTGAATATGATTGGCCTCTTGAAACAGACTTGCTGAACTAACGAACCCGAGCTGGACGGAGCGAAATAATCTGAGCCAGTATATACAACTTGTGCTAGAAAGTCTATACATCTTCACCGGTTTTTAAAAACATTGTTTGCTCTTCATATTGTCATTCATCACTGCGTTGCAAATCATATAATAATAGTGTCTATGATAGTCTGGTATCAGCGGTCAGACGTCTGACCGATCGCACACCCACGTTCTCCAAATTTCAACAATCATAACAACAAAGTAAGTAAAATACATAAAGTGCACCCTTAGTTTTAAGAACTTAACAGGCATTTTTAGTGCAGAAGTGGCTGAATAAAAATGGTGAAAAGGAAACAAAATAATGCAGGAGAAAAGGGAAACGTCTGTAACGGTGGTCGTGTATGCATTTGCTTGCTTTTAGTCGCTGAGCACTATCTATGTTAACCCATCGCTAGCATGAAGGAGGGACAAAGGCCAACTTTGATGCTCGTGTGCCACATGATAAAATCACCTGCTGCAGAATTTTTCTATTTGTCGCCGATCTGCATCATTCAGTCGAAGTTTATTCAAGCTTGTCTTGTGCAAAACTGGAAGCAACTGAGGCTTTAAGCTGTTTATAGGATCAGATGTTAAAGCAAGTGATTTGTTTACTGGCAAAGAGCGAGACTAATATGTCAGAGAGGGCTAAGGCGTTGACAGTTTGTTTAACATCCAACATAATACAGCACGTAATAAGGTCTGTACGAGAGTAATGAGAAAAGAAGTACAAAAAAAATCATAAATTATGTGTTAAAATTTGTGGAATTTGGTTAAGTGACTGGATTAAATCAACAAAAACATCCAAAACTTGATGTAGAAACTGTGTGTAGCAGTTGGATTTTCAGACTTTTAAAGGTGCATAGACACAAAATTGATATTCTCGGTAGGATTTGAAGCTATTTTGTGTGTTCAAGTTAGAGCTGAAACAATTTCTTAACAGAAAATTAATCTTTAACTAAGAGTTTTCAAGCATAAATGTCAAACATTCTGTGGTTCTAGCTTCTCCAGTGTGAGGATTTGCTGTTTTCATTGTAAACTGAAGATCTTTGGACGGTCGGTTGAACAAAACAAGACCTAAGAAGTTAAAGAGGAAATTATTCTGGGTGTATTTAAAAAAAAACGTATCAAAAAAAATAATCTGCAGGTTAACGCATGTTCTTGCATTAAACCACAACAAAAATCTTTTTTTATTTTTTTTTTTATTTTGACACAATAGAGGTAATTATATCATTCAAAGTTAGTCTGAGTCCCTCATTGCTTTCACTGGTCGCTTTTCCACGTACATATGATTAGCAGTGTGACACAGAGGCAGGGTTAACGGAATAAAATTCAAAATGCAAACTATGTTTTGTTTTATTTCTATGTACAATATATAACTTAATTATAAATATTGTCATTTTTCTCTAAGTACTGAGTTGTTGAGCCATTTGTATTTTCTGAGCAATGTACAGTATTGAACATATAATATTGTATTACATAGAATAGAGCCTACTAGCAACCTTGGTTAAGAGCACACTTTGAAAGAACAGAAGATGGATACAGAGTCCACAAGTAGAGTCCGATGAGTAGTACTTTCACTCTGACAGTCCCGCCTGCTGTGGCCACTCGTGTTGTGCCACACAACGTTTTGGAAGTGCACTGGTCTTTGATTTAGAATGAGATCAGAACTCAGAACCCTCCTGTTATCCTACCTGTGTGCGGAATATGATAATGAAATAATCACTTCTCACTGTTAGTTATGTTTTTCATATAAGATAATGTCTAATACCCTAATGTGTGTGTTTGTGTGTGTGCCGGCTGTGTGGTTTCCTCTGATTGGATCTGCCTCTCGTGAGTTCTTTCAGACGTCCATCACACAAACACAGGCCACATCTGCTGTTAAGTTAAATATTTTTTTTTTTCCACTAATAATCCCAGTCCAACCATCCAGTCACAGACAGGCCATTACACATTAGACTCCACAAATGGTCTCTTTGGTTTGATGGGGGAGGTGGGGCCTTGGGTCCGGGAGTCACGTGAGAGCTGGCGGTACATGTTGTCCTGGTAGGCCTGTGCCACGGGCAGAGTCCTCGCCACCTTCACGTCTGGGTAGGTGGGCACCTGGCTGACCCGCTCCAGGATGTCCCCGCTGCCTCGGGAGCCATTGGCCAGTTTGCCCAGCGACTGCGGCTGGGTCTGGGAGTAGTAGTCCTCCTCCAGCAGGTGTCCGTTCTGGGCGTTGTTGGTCTTGTTGTAGTAGGCGATGTTGCCCAGCGAGGCGGGGGGGCTGTAGGTGGAGCCTTGCTGGACCAGCTGGCCGGGCGAGGTGGGGCTGATGGCCGAGTCCATGGACGTCATGGCCCGGGACCGCGAGGGCTGATGCAGGTACTGCTGAGTCCGCGCCGTCTTGTCTATGATGCCCATGAAAGGCGTGTTCCGAGAGCGGGTGGTCTCGCCTTGGTACAGCCCCCCGCCGCCCTGGGAGGGGGAGATGGGCGAGATGTCGTCACAGGTGCGCTCGTATGTGGCTTGTAAGGGGATCTCCATCTGCTGGATGGAAGAGGAAGGCCTAAAGCTGGGCGCTAAATTAGAGGTGGATCCAGTTGAGATGTTGTTGCTAGACGGGGAGAAGCGAAGGCCTACACTCTGAGAATGGATGAGAGGCCTGGGGGTGGGCACATGCTGCTTCATCTCAGTAGTATTGGCACTCACGGGGCGTCTCACCATATGGGGGATCTCAGGAGAACCCAGCTGGCAGGGGGGCATGGCATTGGCACGCTCCAGCACGTGCTCAGACACTGGGTAGTAGGCGGCCGACTGGCTGCGGCTGATTTGTGGCGTCTGGCTGTAACGGATGCCCCCCGGGCCCCCGCTGCTGGCGCGGTAGGCAGAGGAGGGGCGCTGGGGTAGTTCATCCTTCAACAGGCTCGACTCCATAACCCCTCCTCGGCCGCCGTGCTGACAGAGGGCCCCAGAGCTGAGGCTGGCCTGGACTTGTGGCATGGAGCGCCCATCCAGGGAGGGCTGGTACACCAGGCGGCTCTCCACGTCCACCGAGCCCCCCTGGTAGCGACCACCCATGGAGTGGCCCATCTGGCTGCCGTAGCTGCTGTTTCCCATCACGTTGCTGGGCTGGTTTGTGCGAACTATTTGGGCTATAGAAGGCTGGAGGCGAAGGCCTTGGGCTTGGTGGTGTTGGGAGGACAGTGAGGGCTGCGAGCTCAGCTGGAATGAACGCTGGCTGCTCATCTTTGAAAGTGGGGATTTGGGTCGGCCTGGGAGCTGCTCCGTCTGGTAGCGCACAGGCGACCCAGACTGGGACCTGTACAGACAGACGCTTTCTACTGGTGGACTGGCTCTGTACTGAGCAGCCCTGCGTAAAGGGGAAGGCGGCGGGCTTTGGTGATCCATCCCCTGACCCCCGGTACCCATAGGAGGCGGGCTGAAGCGGTAGGACGGCTGGTGCACTGGGGAGGTGTGAGGTGGACTGTGGCGGTAATGGGAGTTCTGGTGTGTCGGGGAGAGGGAGGGCGACGTGGACTGGTATGTGCCTCGAGTTGGGGAGGACATGGAGGAGGAGGTGGGGTGATACTCGTAGGGCTGGCCCATGGGCGAGCCTCCACCTAAGTAGATCTGATCTGGATGTGTGGGGGACAGCGGCGGGCTCTGAATGATGGGAAGGCTGGAGGGGTTGGTGAGGGACTCGGGTGGAGGCAGACCCATCGACATGGCCTCCAGCTCCTGCTCCAGGTAGTCCTCGTCCTCAAACAAGTCCTGGACAGGCTCCATGTCCTCCAGACGGGGCTCTGGGGGAGGGGGGAGAGGCATGGACAGGGACAGGGACTCCTCCTCTTCAGGGGGAGGCGTAGGAGGAGGGGAGGGTGGAGGCTCCAGCTCCAGGTCCTGCTGCTGGTGCTCGTCCTGGGCGAGCTGGCGACACTCCTCCTCCACCCTCTGGAGCAGCCGCTGGATTTCTCTGTTGTTGGGGCACTGCTTTATGGCTTCATTCAGGTCCTCTAAGGCTTCAGGAAATTGTCTGGAAAACAGGAGAGCGATGTTATTTTGGCGGATAAAGTTGCCTGAGACTATCGGATGCTGGAGCCACACCGCGTGTAGACAGCAATGCAGCTGCAGAGACTCTTTAAAATGTATAGAACAGAGTGGAGGATTACAGGAAGTATTTCTGTGAGCTGTAGAGGGATAAAAGGAGCGAACCTGCTGCTACGCTTGGCGCGTGCTCTGGCATAATATGCCTCGTATGATTTTGGTTTCAGTTCAAGTGCCTTCGTAGCAAATTCCTCTGCCATCCCAAAGTCCTGGAGAGATTGAACAGAGGAGAACGCGACTGAACAACACACAAAACGTATCAAAACGTGTCCAAAAGCATCATCACCGTTATTGCTAAATGCATAATGTCTCAAATCTAAAATACGCAGCTTTAGTAGAAAACCTTTACATGTGACTTACGTTCATTTTCCTCCGACATCGGGACAGATTGAGGAAGAGCGATACTTTGAGTTCCCTGAATGTCTTGAGGTCCTCGCTGAAGCCTTCGCGTGGAAACTTTTTAAGAGCGTACTGATAACGTTGCGCAGCCTCCTTCACCTTCCCCTTCTGTAAAATTTGCACAGAAGCAACACGTGATTTTAATTGAGCGTGCAGTCCCAGTTTATTCCACATATTTACTTTTTTAAAGCATCCTTCAGACTCTTTATTTCTTCTTGCTTCATATACCCCTAATGCCATTTTATGTTGTTTCATACATTTATTTTATTATCTATGTTGTTTTGCAAACTTGAGACGCACCAGCCAGAATGTCACTGTGTATAAATACAATGACAATAAAGCATCTCATCTTCTGTGAAAGGAATCCGGTTTGTCCCGTCTTTACAGTGAAATAAAAAGCTAATCTTTCACAATGTAAATCACCAAAGCAAGACAAAGATTCATTTATAAATCCACAAACATAATCCATTCTCAGACTGAGCTCATTCTGAAAAATGGGATGCTTGTTTTCACTGTGTGTTACGTTGTGGGGCCTTAAATCTATTTGTGAAGAGAGACTATTGTCAAGTTCTGACATTCTAATACCAGTAAATACTGAAATCCTTAAAGTTATTTTTTTGGCTTTTGTGCCTTTATTGGATAGTGTAGTCAGAGAGAGACAGGAAAGTAGGGGAGAAGAATAGGGGGAGGACATGTGGGAAAGGGTCATGAGCAGGATTCAAACTCATGACCTCCACATTGGGACTGTAGCCCTGCACAAGGGACGCCAGCTCAACCAGGTGAGCTATAGCAGCGCCCATAAATGCTGAAATCCTACATGCAGAATCATAATTAGCCTCAAGTTTACCATAATAGTCTAGAAAAAAAAGTTTATTTTATATGCAGTGACCCCACCACATTTCCGTAACAGAGAATTGTTGTCGCAGATAGTATTTATCACGCTACAGATTTATCTATAAAGAGCCCATATTATGCTTTTGGGGGTTTGCTTTTTGTTCCAGATTTTTTACTGCATATAAAACTTCTGTAGACGTCCACACCAAAGGGAGTTATTCTCTTCCATTCTCTCTACCTGCATGAAACACCTCATTTGATTTCCTTCCTACTTATTAACTTCATCATGTCACACATCTACTTAGTTCTGCACACCCTCAAGCAAAAACAACAAACAGCTTCCTCACAGCGTGCCATTATTTCCTCACTCGAGCTGCTTCTGCTCAGGGTGCATCCCTAAACTCAGAGATCTGGGGTTAAATCATTAACTGCTTCATTTCACTGGGCCGACAAACCAATCTGAGCATTTTGAGCGAGACAGAAAGCTAAAACATTTCATACCGAGGGTGAGAAGAGGTGCTGCAGAAGTGCACAGTACGAGGAAAATAGTGTGTTTTTTGAACATTAACCTCCTGAACCCCAAGCAGTTTCTGGATGTCTTGTTGCCTCCGTTATATTTTTACTAACTGGTGACTCATCTCTCGCTGCAATATATGGAGTCGTGCACTTCTTTGGAAACAATGAAACCATGGCTGGAAGGAAAAAGAACTCAAGAATGTCCTCTGTGCTGTATAACACAGAATGCCATAAACAATTTTTTAAAAACAAATAACTAAAGTTGGATTTCTTTGATTATTTATTCTACAAAATATGAAATAAAACCTAGAATCAACATGTCCTACATCTTTTAGCGCCCACTGGTGTTTCCAACACTGACAAAATGGTGGCATTACATGCTATAGATATATTACTACTATAAGTTTGTTTTCATAACACAGCCTGCAGTTCAGCCAAGAAATCACAGAATATTTTTCACATGACTGAATTGAAACACTTATAGCTTTTCAGTAGCATTAAAAAGTGCAGAAAGTTGTGGTTGACGTGGTTCAAACTGGTTGTTTTTTTGCAAGTTTTTAAATAAAAGATATAGAATACAGCGATTTTGGTGAAATGTCACAATGTTAAGCCAAGATTTGATTAATTTTCCAGACAAAATGTCCCATCAAACATATCTATTTCAAGGAAAGTTGTTGTCTTTACACTTTCTGGCTCTGATAAATGGAGAGATTTGGGTATTTTTGTTGTCAGGTTCTGAGGTTTAGAAGGTTAAAACATGTATAAAAGTAAAATTAGAAACCTTTAAATGTGTATAATACAGGCTCTTTTAATTGTGTGAAATCTGACTCTGACCTTGTAGAAGCTGTCCCCCTCCTCGATGAGTTTGCTGAGTAAGATGATCATGATGTCGGGTTTGGAGGTGGCCATGGCCCATGTGGCTGGACCTGAGTAACACAGGAAGGAGCAGATGAAGAAAAAGAAAAAGACTGTGAGAAAGACACACAGCAATAATCAGAAGAGGAGGAAGGAGGGAGCGACTGGGAGTCACACAACACACGACAATAATAACAGGAATGAAGACAACAGCCAAAATGGGGAATGGAAGAGAAAAAAGACAGGCAATCCACTGCAGAGAAAAAGAGTACGAAAATATGCCGTGACACCTCGAGAACATTGTGGTCTCGCTACGGGACAACAGGCCTGGGTCAAACACTATTTGCCAGTGTTGTTCCAATCCTGCTGGGAGTTGCATTTAAGTGTTCTGAAATTCAAATTAACTGTACCAAATGTGTGCAAATGTTTTTGGCCCAGGCAAACCTAGCGTAGAAATGGAACGCAAAAAAAATAATTAAAATCGAACTGTGATGTTTTTCTGTTAAGACACACTTGCTGTCTTGTCAAGAAGTGCAGATGTACAGCAGTTGTTTGTGTTGCTGACTAATTCAAGAAATGTAATCTGCTCATAAAAAAAAAAAATGTTTTTTTTTTTTGTTGAGAAAAGAATCCCTGCAGACTGATTTGTGACAGAAAAATCAAACACAATCTCTCGACCGAAACTGATGCATCTTTGTTTGTATCTGCGCAATCCTTGACACATGTAAACACACACAGACACACACACACAGCACAGAGATGAGGAGGATCTTGCACAAGGAGGACACGGGGTGGGAAACAAAAAGAAGCAAGCAGGAGGGATATAACGGAGGGGGGGTGTGGGGGGCTTCTGCAGGCGTTAGCTGTCCCCCTCTGAGCTGGTGGTGAGGGTAGGAATGCTGCTGACTGGCCTAAGCTGACACTGAGAAAAAACGTCTGGAGGATGGACGGAGCAGAGCGCAGTGGTTTAATCGCTGCGGTCTGCAGTGGTACAGAAGAGTTACAAATACATGCATTTTCCTGCTAAATCTCGCAAGTGTGATTGAAAAAAAGGGGAGGAGGGGGCTTTCTGTCATGCATCTGTGGGATGGAAGGTCAACACCTCAAATACGACGTCACAGGCTTGGAGGGAGGCCGGGCATGCTGTCATTAACCGCTCGGGCGTTAGCATCTACCTCTAGGGCAATCCCGACTGCATCCCTGTCAGTGCTAATACGTCTTTCGTGTTATTATTTGTCAGTTTTGAGAGTTTTGGTAGCTAAGCTCGCCTGCCGACACTTAGGACGACACAGACAACACAGAGAGAGGAGATAGAGCTGTCAAAATGCCTGGTAGGGTGAGAAGTCGACAGCCTTGGCTTTACCTCGGGGCCGACTGGGCAGCGTCTGACATCCTGGGGCCGGAGAGAGAGGCGAGGGGGGAGGGGTGGGAGGAGAGGAGGAGGAGGAGGAAGGAGGAAGGAGGAGGTCATGAGCAAAAAGGGAAAGGAGTGGAAGTGGGAGGGCAGAGCAGGATGAAGGTGGTAGGGGCAGAATTGCCAGAGAAAAAACAGGGGTGTGGGTGTGCGGAGGAGCGAGAGGATAGAAAGAGATAGAAAACAGCAGGAGGGTGAAAAGAGAAAGAGAGGTGATGGTGGTGGTGATGGTGGTGGAGGAGGAGGAGAAGTGAGAAAAGGAACACAAGCAGCAGTGAGAAGCGGAGATAAGTGCCTCAGCAAAATAAAACAAAAATAAAATAATACAGATAACCAGCAAGCGCTAATAACAACCTGTCTCTGAGCAACCACAGAGGGGATAGAGAGAGAGAGAGAGAGAGGACGTGATTGAGGAGAGAAAAAACAGCGAGATAGCAACAGAGACAAACTGACAGAGAGAAAGTGAGAGAGAAAAGCAAAACAACACAGTAGTACAATAAAAAGAAACACACATCAGAGCCATAAATAGCCGAGGAGAAGCGGCACGGTGCAGCAGTAGGGGGGTGGATGACATACAGTAGCACAAAGTGGTTTATGCTACATGGAGACACAAACTTGAATCCATGGCTTTTGTTGCAACATAATGCTACACAGCGCTCTTTAATGACCAGCAGGAAGAGTGTACTTTAAAAAAAAAAAAGGGCCTTTCATCTTCTCTCTTGACGGTCTTTCATGCAGCACATGCTTGAAGTCCATTTACATGAGCTTTTCAACCAAAATATATGTACAACCTCACTTCTCAGCAGGCAATAACCTTTTATTGCTGGACAAAGATGCTGCACTTGGAGTCTTTTTCTGTGCTAAACTGTTGGCTCTTTGAGTCTGGAAGCTTCCTCTTACCTATCTTGGCTCCTTTCTTGAGCAGGGCGACCACCACTGACGTGTTTCTGCAGCCCACGGCCCTGTCGAGAGGACGCATCCCGCTGTAGTCTACGTGCTCTATCATGGCCCCGTGGTCGACCAAGAACTGGACCTGAAAAGACAAAGAAGCGTCCAAAGAAGTTCATATCCCGCCTGCTCCAGAGTCCAATTAGAACTTTTTATTTTTACAGTAAACTAAGAGCAACATTTAAAACCCAATGTGACATTTTAAAACAACCTGGAGGAACTAAAACACAGTGCATCCCTGACAATATCGTTTTAGTTGCACCCGAACCGATATATCGCTCAGCCAGTATTATTGGACTCTATTTCCTTTCACAGATCGGCATATATGTTGTTTGATAGAAAAACTTTCCATTTTTTTTGCAGAACATAATGCAGAGAAAGATGCTGGTGTTAATTTAGAAATGATGTCGACTCCAACTCCATTGCAGCTATGGCATAGTTACTAACTAGTTTGTGAAATACGTTCCTGGAGAGTTAATAAACAATGACCCCATCGTTCATTTTTTCAGAATACAGAAGGGCTTATTAACATCTTGCGTATGTATATAAAGATTAGATAATATATTAACATACTCCCTCAAAATCAGTATCGATGTCGGCCCCAAAAATCAGAATGTTGGTCGGAGTTTAAACTGCACTCATTCAAACGTCGCTGAACAAAGCTACGTATCTGTTGATGTGCTAAAAAGATTCAGTGCTGGTAGTGAGTGGGGACAGGCTTCGTGATGTGAAGCCTCATATGGCATCCTCAGGTGAGTCAGAAGAAAAAGTCCTCACAGTTATGAAGCTGGAACACATCTTTTTTTTTTTTGTTTTAAAAATGACTTGCTTGAAAAGTTAGCTTTCAAAATAGTTAATTAGAACTCTGTATATAATAATGGTTATTATTTTTCCATTGTTAAATATGTGTGCAGTGCATTTTTTTATGCTAAAGGTGCCATGTTTGGCTATAAAAAAATTATATATATATAAGCATTAATAAAAGACTGACCTAGAAATATAAAATTAAACTAAAATTGAATTTATTTTGTATTTTTTTAAACCATATGTTGTGCAATAAATCAAACAAGAAAAACACCATATTTCACATCCCCTCTTGGCCAACATGTTACCATTATTGGAGGGTAAGAAGATCTGTAATTTCCGAGACTCATGGATGGCTCTATGAACCTTTTAAATACAATTGTTATTATCTTTTGCATATCTTATGTTGTTTACATCACACACTATACAATTTTACACATTGTAATCAGCACATTTCTGCACAATGTCAATATTTCTGTTACTTAGTTTTACTTATAATCTCTTGGAAATGCTAAATTTGTAATTCTTCTTATTTGTCTGGTAACCCTTACTGCTAACTTGCAACACTCACTTTTTAAAAAAGCTTTAGTAAAACTGATTCTGACCACAGCCCTCATTAAAGGAAACACTACATTAGCAGTTTGTCTTGGAGGCTTCAGAGAGATTTTTTTTTAACACGATGCTCAAGGATCATTTTTGATATCAAGACAGTACTTTTTAAAGAATATAAATACACTTAAACAAAGAAGACTAAAGGTAAACACAAGCAGTCGTACAAAAAGTAAATAAACTAGTGCAAAAAGATATGTCTTGAGTAGAAAAACAGATCAAAAAGGAAGAAATCTGAACGTGATGAGACGCATGGAGAGTCAATGCGAAGACTTGTAGTTTTATGGATTTCCTTTAATCCACACTAGCTTCTCACCACTTCAGAGTCTCCGTAGAAGGCAGCCAGGTCAAGGGGCGTCCGTCCGTTCTTGTCTGCGTGGTCGGTGGCGGCACCGCTCTCCACCAGGCAGCGGACCACAGGAAGATGACCCTTCAGACAGGCCCAGCTCAGAGCCGTCAGACCCTCCTTATCCATCAGAGACAGAGAGGCTCCTGGGAAAAAAAAGAGAAGCAGCCAGGCATCTTTACTTATTCTGAATACCTTCATTCATTCCACTGAGTTTGCTGCATCTGCGGTCGCCTGGTTTTTATTTTTTTTTGCTGTTTTATAACTGCTTAATAAATTCTTATTGATTTTTTTTTTTTAAAGATTTGTTGTTGGTTTAATTTGGCTGCAATTATTCCAAACAGAGTTTGAGAACTGTAGTTAGGCTTGTTGTAATTAGTGTAGTCGCACCACAAAGGCCTTGAGGTTCAGAGAAGTCTGAGAAAACTCACTGCATTCTTGGTTCTAGTTAGATTTTAGACAAATATGCTTGGTCTAGATCTTCTACATTTCACTTTCCATGAGGGGATTTTCCTTCAGTGGCTCCAATGACCTGATTCTAGTCTGTCAGGTGTGAATGCGAAATACAGTTTGGGTTCTCACTCATTCTAAAAAAGGAAATGTGTATGAAGAATTGCAATAAAAAACACATGAACACTAGCAGAGTGACTGAAGTTTCTCTTAGAGGACAAATCTCTGTCACATATTTCTTTCCTTAGCGAATAACTCTAACACATCTTTGTGTATTTTGCAATTACAAGGTTCTATCTGCATTTAGGCTTCAGTCGTGCCAAAAATACTCTTTAAGCAAACGTATGAAGCTCCAACTGACTCGCAGTTTGTTCTGAAGGTTTATTTTAGGCGTCTTACCTTGAGCTAGTAAAAACTCTACAGTTCCCAGGTGTCCCTCTGAGGCAGCCATCATTAGAGGAGTCCGACCCTGTTTGTCCGCCAGGTTGACGTCTGCTCCATGTGTGAGCAGGAGGTCCACAATCTGCACAACGTCATTATATAACAGCAAAGTGATGTTTTAACTGTGAAACTGCAGCAAACAATTGATTTAATAGTCTATTAATATTTAAGTCTATAAAACATATGAAAAGAAAGAAAAAAATCGCAACAGAGATGTATTCAAACGTGTTATTTTTGAGTCCAAAAATCAAAAAATATCGGATTTATTTATGTTAAAGTTGAAGAAAAGCAGGAAATCCTCATATCTGAGAGGCTCCAACCATCACACATTGTTTTTTTTTGCTTCAAGAAGGAGGTAAACAAATAACTGCCTTTAATCATAAAAGTCTGTGATTAAATTTAATAAGATGAACAAAATTGTTTCAGTTCTCATTGGCATTTTGTGTTTTCTAGATGTGTTTTTACTGCATTTTGAAGTAAGCAAAGTTAGTTTAGCTACTATCTGTGAACTCCGGTCAATGGCAATGCATCCAGAGTCTTCAAACTGTTCTCATTGAGTGAAAGCGATCAGGTGTCTACTGACCTGCCAGTGTCCCTGCCGGACGGCGCTAAACAGCGGGACGATGCCTCTTCTGTTGGGCTGAGCCACAGCAGCTCCCTGCTCCAGTAACAGACGACAAACTTCCAGCTTCCCCCGACCAGAAGCTGCAGTCAGAGCTGAACACATACAAGCAAGAAACAAGGGTAAGTCGTGTATTTATAAGGTAGAAATCAGATTTCTAGTTTCCTTGGGTGCCTTTATGCAGAGCTTTTAAACAGAAACTACTTTTAATTCTGAAGGAGTTTGGGGTCATCTGAACCCCAGATGCATGTTTTCTTTAAAAATCACTAAACTCACGTCATTTATCAGATCCAGAAACAGAGAGGATTGTCTGTTTTAAGATTCTGATGGTCCTTGAACTACTCATCACTGGTGATCCAGTTTGTTCTGGAAGTGTAACCAAATCTAAGCTTAAAATTGTGGCATTTCATCAAAATCACTCTAATCATAAATTTGCCAAAAAACTAACCATTTGCTCTAACCCAGGGGTGTCGAATCCTGGTCCTGGAGGGCCACAATCCTGCATGTTTTAGATGTGTCCTTCTTCCAACACACCTGATTCAAATGATCAGGATCGTTATCAGGCTTCTGCAGAGCTTGATGATGAACTGATCATTTGAATCAGGTGTGTTGGAAGAAGGAAACATCTAAAACATGCAGGATTGCGGCCCTCGAGGACCAGAGTTTGACACCCCTGCTCTAACCCGATTCTGTAAAAGAAAAATAAATAAATCCTGCACTCTGCAGCTTAACTATGAAGACATTATTCACTCAGCTGTAACCAGCTGTTGCATGACAAAAATCCTGGAACTTCTTAGCTGAAGTGGGTTGAACTGCAGGCTGTGTTTACACAGAGCAAATAGGAGAAGGGTAGAAAAAGTAATGTATATTGTAGAGTTACCACTTTGGTACTGGTAACACCTGTGGGAATTTGGAAAAAAGTTCTACATGTTGATTCCCAATTTTTAAAAAAAATAAATAATCAAAGCGATTTAATCTTCACACTGCATATAAAACATTTCTGAGTCGTCTCTACTTCTAGTCATGGTTGTGCTGTTTCCTGAGAGGTGTAGGACTTTATGTTGCAGTGAAAAATGAGCCAACAGTGAGTCAAAATATGACAAAAAAATGCCAAGAAACTGCTTGGGGTTTAGAGGGTAAATCTGTAGCAAGTGATTATGAGGCCAACAAGGGGCAGTGCAAACAAGGTATGAACACAAAACTGCTATATCATCCCTTATTAAGTATATCTGGCCAACTTGTTAGAAAAAAGCTGTGATTATAGAGGAAACCAAAACAGCACAGATGAAGGCTGGACAGCACAACCAGGAGATGAAACTCAGTATGAAGCTCCATAAAGAGGAGCTGCAGATTGAGGTGATCACAATCATGTTTTTAATTGTTATTTTTATGAAAATAGCAGCTTTAAAGTTAATTTTAGCTACAAATTGGTCAAATTTGTTAGATAAGATAATGAGACGATAAAATGGAAGTAAGAAAAGAGAAGAGAAATTGAAAAAAAGGTGATAAAGACGAAGAGACAATGAAAAGAAGAGAAGAAAAAGTAGGAGAGAAAAGGAACAGAAAATGAAGGAAAGAGAAGATAAAACGAAAAGAAGAAAAGAGAAGATAAAATAAAAAAGAGAAGAAGATGATACACTTGAGACTTTTTAGGAGCAAAGGCCTTTGAAACGACATCCTCTCAAATGTAATGATTGTAATTGGAATAATTTAAGCCGGGTGAATATACTCAAGTGGAAGCGGTGACCCCGACTTCAACCTACTCATTCTTTGCTGGTAGAACACTGTGATACACTGCGCACGCTTCACTATATCCTCATATACATACTGTCCCTGTGGCTGTCGTGCAGAATAACACATTTTCAGTTGACCTATGGAGTCACTCTGGGATTAGGAATTATCTTCCAGAGCAGCTGTTGCCCTTCTGATCCCCAATAAACAATGAAACTGAGTCTAAGTGGCTGCGAGTCGCCTCTTCGGCGAGCGGAGTCTTTGCAGCGCTGCAGCACAGGGAGCAACGAGCTCGCGATGAGGTTTTATAGCTTTAGGTTGTAATGATACGTCGCGTTTCTCAACACCCTGCCACGGAGCAATCAGAGTAGTCATTTCTGAGCACCCTGGAGCGCTCTCACTCTCCTCTTCCTCCCCTCCTTTCCCCCCTGTGTGAAGCCCAGCCCCGTCTGTGCTCCAATGACACCACTGCACTGTCATCAGCATCTGACGCAGCAGCAGCAGCAGCAGCAAGCAGCAGACACAAGAACCAATCTCCCACAGCCGCACTGCAGCGCTCTGCCTCGCTGAAAAGCCAGAAACCTCCACAGAGCCTTAAAAGGACACTGTCCGACCAGCACGTCTCAGGACAAACCTGCGTTTTCCGTGCGGGGGGTTTTCGCATTAGCGCACCGAGAAGTCATGTGTCAGTGCTCAGGTTGGGGTTTAATGTAAAGGTTACAGAAGGTTTCTCCTACCTGTCTCTCCCCACAGGGTGTCAAAGTTATTGATTTGAGCCCGCTCCACCTCCTCTTCATCTTTCTCTGGCAGGTCCAGCAGGTAGGACACGATCTGACGGGCAATGAGATGGAAGATGACAAAGATTAATGAACAAGTTTGCTTTTGCTCACAGGCCGTAATCCGCTTTGCCTTTGATCCTGCTGTAATGTGACCTAAGAGGCTGAATTTTAGATGACTTACTGTCATCATTAGCAACTACATCGACCACCACACCGATCAATTAGTCGCTGAAAGTAATTATCACGCAGTTTAATTTATTATAAAGCACACACGGCTTCTCTTTGTGACATACATCTCTCTAGCTCCCTTGCATTTTTGTCTCTTTTGTCTAAGTCAAGAACTACTTTTATTTCCAAAGTGCTTTTTTTTCTCAACCATTTATCCACTATTTCACCATCTGCAGGTATCATGTCATCATCTGATCTACAGGTGGCGGTAACACTGGCAAAAGGAGAAGAGGGGCAGCGAGCAAACAAGGGCCTGAACCCAAACTCCACTCTTTTAGACCCTCTTCTCATTCCACATTTTAAACCTCGACTCCTCCCGTAGAATTTAATGAACAATGTGGCAAAATGTGACGAGACTTTACGGATGTCACACATTGTTTTCTGTTGTTTTATTTAACGCGGTGAAGTGTAAAAGAGTCGCGGCACACAAATGAGCACTAAACAAATACAAAAAAAAGCCTCATCTCATTTCGCTAATTGTACATCCTCGACTTCTCTCCTCGCGTCTCACCCAAGATGCGAATGGAGGAGTCGAGTCAATCAGGCGTTTAACAAAATGAGGCATCCTTGCTTTGGAGCTTCTGGTTTAAAGCGTCATTTAAATACACATCTGTCCGTTGTGTTGCTGCAGCCTGCTGCTGGATTTTATGGTCTGTGTCAAATGAAGGCAACAGTGTTCACGACAACTTACAGTATATGTTCACTTATGATTTAGTTCATAATGTGACAACAATCTACAGATGTCGTACATTTCTATTTCTGTTTTTAACACACCTTGAAGTTTAAAAAAGGCGTGACACACAAAAGAGTGACATATACAATGACTGAGTGATTTATATTATATGCACACATTTGCTGCTCTTGCTCCCCACATGGATTAGAAAAATAAATACTTTTCCCCCTCTGTTGCAGAAAACTGTCCCCATCACATTCTCTTTAAACCAACTGATGAGTGGAAAACGCATTAAAAAAACTTTTAACAACTTTTACTTCAGGCAGGATCGTAACAGCTGTGGTGTGCTGTTCCAGCTGCGTGTCACGCCTCTTTATGCGTCAAAAGTGAGGAAACATCCTTCAAGATGGCAGGCAAGATTGATTTCCAGGTCAGCGGCAGGAGGACAAAAGAGTCAAGGAGGCTCAAAATAGAAAAGCGAGATGAGCCTTCTGATTTTAAGGTGCATTCTTAGTAAACAATTAAGGTTTTAGAGCTTGTCTGACTGTCCTAAAGTCAGGTCTCTGACTTTTCAACGCTCACCTTTTCTGTGGGTTTGAACATCTGCAGACTTTCCTGAGGGACTAGTTCATATGAAAATGTAAACATACAAATGTAGACAAACCAAGCCTGATTGGTGCAGAGAAGCAGTGGCAGCATTCTGGCTACTCGCTGACATTTTAATGCATGTTTGCGAAGTCGTTTTATATTTTCAGCCAAACATCTGCATAGGATTTACAGATATTCACTCACTTTGGGTAGTTTGCAAAAATGTTTCAGCCCTGCAAAGTCACAAACAGGGAGAGATCAACTGAGCAGCTGATCAAATTGAGTTCAAATTCATCTTTTTGTTTTTCTCATGTTGATGTGTTGTTTCCAAGCAACGTGTGCTTTCACCACAGTGCGTCCAATCTCTTCTTTTTCATACCATTTCCATCTCTCGTGAACTCGCTCACTCCAGCGCTGACGTCAGTTAAGTCTGTGAGGGGTTTTTAGTGCTTTGGTCTTAGTGTGGAGATTGGGATCGGGCCACGGTTGCAAACAATGTTGGATTTAAAACACAAATGTTTTTTGACGAAGCAAACGGATTCAGTAAATCTGCAGGAGATCAAGCATCCACTCGGTGCATTTTGGTGGATGTGACTTCTGCTTTTTTAGCACAGAAACACCACAAATTTAAAAAAAAGTCTGTATTAGCACCGAGATTAAAGATAGTGACAGTGCAGTAGGACTAATATGTACATGAGGTCATCTCAGACCCTAAACCGGCTTCAAATCACTTCGGATTCAGAGATTTTTGTCACAACAATCTAAATCATCACCCCTCATCACTCCCGCTGTACCTCTGTGTATCCCATACTGGCTGCAGCGATAAGAGCCTGCTGGACCGCGTGACTCTTGGTAAAAGCCGCCTGTTGTTGAGTCTGCGGCGACTGCTGTTGCTGTGGCCCCAAACTCCAGTCACACTGGATAAGGAACTTCACCACCTCCATGTGGCCCCTCAGGGCTGCATGAACCAGGGCGCACTGGCCGTTCTTGTCCAGGTGGTCCACCTGATAAAAGGATACAGATTTAATCAGGAACAGAAAGAGAAAAAAAAAAGACTCAGGACACATAAATTTGTCTCTCCTTTTCCACAGCTTGCTTCACGCACCTTTGCTCTCCTGCGGCAAAGCGCAGTCACGATGGCCATGTGTCCTCCAGCAGCAGCGTAGCCCAGCGGCGTGAGGCCACTCTCGGACTGGGCGTCCACAGAGGCGCCGAACTCGAGCAGCAGAGCCACCATGTCCATGTAGCCCAGGTGGGAGTGGACGCACAGGACGGGGGCGTTGTTCAGCACCTCTGTGCGGTAGTTCACGTTGGCGCCGCCCAGCATCAGCAGCCGACTCACCTGAGAAAGGAAAATGAGGACAAGTTGACACAGAAAAAGTACGACTTGTAATGTTGAAACTATCTAAGCCCAGAGAGAGGTGGATTTCTCCTGATTTGGCATCTGGAGCATGTTGAAATATTCGTAAGGCCCCCGTTTTTTTTTTTTCTTCTTTTTTTGCTGCTGTACCTTGATGTTGGGAGTGTAGAGGTTTCGGAGTGAAGAAAGTGCAGCTGAAAGACCCTCTGTGCTGTAGGATACCCACAGGCCTTGCAAGATAGATGAGGAAACTCCGACTTTCTTGCTGAGACCCTTGAAGAGAGAGATGGAGTGTAAATATTCATTACTGTGGAGCCAGACCACAGCTGTGTGGGGGCGTGTGAGTGTGCGAGCGTGCATGTGTATAGATGATCGCCAGGACAAATAATGGTATACCTTGAAGATATGTGCTTTGAGGATGTGATGACCCAGCTCAATAGTCTGCTGCCTGTTCAGCTTGTTCTCCTGGCGAGAGAACCAGAAGGCCAGCAGGGTGTGCCCGCTCCTGCAGCGAGGAAGAACACAAAGTCTTTCAGTGCTTCAGACTGAGTCATCAGGTCATTACATTGTGTTATCTGCACAGTTGGTGGAATTGGTTTTAATTATAATACAGGAAATTAAGTGTTCTTTCTCGGCTAGATAAACATAATGTACCTGCGATAAACAGAGAGATTTCGATTTAATTACACTCTGCTGCCGTCATAGCTTAGGTACATTCCAACATGTTACACATCAGTATGGACGTCATGAAAACGTATATTTCTCCAATAATTTTGTTTTTGAAGAATAATCCAACTGTTTTCTTTTTTTTTTAATGTTTTATATTGTTGTACAAACATGTTAAAACATGAACTCCAAAACCCGCTGGCGAGTTTGAAAAGCTTATTTTTTCAAAAAGGAAAAAAAAAAGAAAAAATGCCAAAACTACACCATTTATCAGAACTAGAAACTGTAAAAACAGAAAAAAATGCAGGATTTTCAACCTTCTGACAGTCCATGCCACGAACTAATCATCTATGACTTGCTGTTCGATTAAAAAAAAGAAAACAACAAAAAAACCCGCCAAATCCAAGCTTGAAATCGCGCTACTTCATTAAAATCACTTTGACAGGTCAGATTTTAAAAATAACATTTAAAAATACAATGTTTGCATTAAACACATTCTGCAAGACAACTCAAATTCTGCAGTCAGTGCTGCAACTAAACAAATACATAAATGACTCTGCTGCAGCCAACAGTCACAGGACATAAATTCAGGGACTTTTTGGCTGACCTGCAGGCAGTGTTTCCACAGAGCAGACAGTCGTATAGAAACAAGCTAAAAATGGAAATAATAAAATATCTATAGTATGTAGAGCCCCTATTTTGTGCAACTGGGGGCAATTGGAAAATGTTGCACATGTTTATTCCAGTTTTTTTAATTTTCATTTTAGTAAAATAAATAATCAAAGAAATTCCTTCATTTTTTGCCTTTTGTAGTATTTACAGCATTATAACTGTGCCAAATTACCAAAAAGACATCTTTGAGTTTGCTCTACTTCTAGCCATGGTTGTGTTGTTTCCATCGGTGTGCAGGATTTTATTTTACAGTGAAAGAAATGAGCTCACAGTGTATAAAAATCTGACGCATACAAAGAAATGCGCAGAAACTGCTTGGGAAGTGACAACACAGAAAAAGGTACTACAGCTTTGGTGTTAGCCTCCAATAACTCAATGTGCATTTTGTATGGTCTCATGCAAAACTACTGTTTCCTTACAGTTTTATTTTAGCCAACATAAATTTGATCTCTAAACAATATTTTGAATCACACAGAAACAGTCTCGTCTCTCACCCCATCTAACTCCCATTCATCTCTTTCTCCTCCCTGTGCTCACCTCGGATCGCAGAGGAACTTGGTCTTTTCTCCCTCTTCTCTCCAAATGAGCCACTCCCTGAAGGAGGGGTGAACAAACATCCTGGTTCCATCCCTCCTCTTCACAAGGAAGACCGACAGGTTGTCTACACGTTGCTGGAAGTCCTCCCAGTCCAGAGTGCCCTGCAACCACAGAGTTAGTGTTAGAGAGGACATGAATCCTGTCTGCTTAAGCCAAATTATGTTGAAATCAAGAGTTATGAGAGAATATAATATCCAGAAGATCCTGATGTTAGCCAAGTTTCTTAGCAGTGAAGTGACATTTGTATGGTAATAATTGAAATTTTTGTTGCTTAGACATTTACAAACACTGCACTTTTCACATCAGCACAAATTAAGTATAAAATCCATTTATTCTCTGTTGAAAAAGGGTCTTTAAATATTCCACAAAAGAATCACTCAGTTAAACAATCAGTTGGACTCCATGACTCATAATAACAAGGTGACCAAAAAACAATAGCTTTAAGAGTTTTTGAAAAATAATGAAAAATACTTTATTTATCCCAGAAGGGAAATTCAAGTTTTTAAAGTGTTGAATAAACTTTTAATAACCAGGAATGGAGTTAAATCACAGATTAGCAGGAGATTACATGACAAAGTAACTAAAACGTTTCATAAGACCTGTGTTTAATTTGTAGAACTACTTTGGTATTTAAGTTTGTACTTTGCACAGTAGCCAGCGTCGATACTGACTGAATCAATTTTATAGCACATTAATTCCATTGAAGTGCTTGAGATATTAAAAGGTCTTATCGTCTGAGGTGCTGTATATTTTAGGATTAATACCTGCAGCGATCCGGCATTGATGGCCTGATATATCTGCTCGTCATTCAGCGGATGGAGCGAGGCCACGGCCACGTTGAGCAGGGGAAGCGCCCGTTCGAACGACGACTGCGTGGGGAAGCGCATGTTGCACTGCAGCAGGTAGACCTCAGCCAAGTTGACTGGAACCACCTGAGGAAGCGAGACAGGGAGACGGGAATCTTGACTTGCAGTTCTGGCTTCCTTTGAATCAGCTCCACACGACATGAATAATGCATGGTGTTTGTAGAGCGCGTCTTCAGCTATTCCACGTGGTGTTCCTCAGAGAGGAGAATGTGAATTTATCAGTTGTCTTTTTTATGGAGTCTGGAGGCACGTCTGAATACATGAAACTAAATGAACCTGGAGGTGTGAGATAAAATATTTCATTATGATATGCACACTAAAACATTCCAGCTGCATAATTTATTAAAAAGGTGCTGGTGTCTGACTGGAAACGAAGCATGTCACAGCGCAGGTCAATAAAAACAACCTCTCCAATGCTGCCCTCACAAATTATGTGTACCAAGTCATTTATTTAAGATCAGGGGTTTTTAAATCATCATTAAATGTATGCCAAATTTAATTGCATTACAATTACACCTGCTTTTAGCGGTTCAAGTTTGCAGTACTTCCTTGTCTATAAAGACTACAGACGTGCATTACATTGATGAGGAAATTTGACATTGAGTAGTATGATTTGTGACACAAATTGCTGCAATTAGGTGTTAAGGGTTTTAAAGTGCCTTAATTGCCTCCATGAGATGTGTGTCACAGCCTCAACTGGTGATCGTGCTGGTTGGGTTTTACATTTTATCCTGCTCAGAATCTTTCCATCACATTTCGTTCTCCTCTAAAGGTGCATCTCAAAAATGTGAAAACCTCTGATTTAGGTGTGTCAGCTTGAGTTGAACCTCTAGCAAACACTACAAAACGAAGGAACAAGCACACACCTTATAGCTGGAACTTTTGAGAACAAGGTAGCCCTTTTCAATGAGGTCAAAGGTGAGTTTGAGGTACAGATAGGATCCCTGGCTCAGGGCCTTGAGGTGGGCGCTGAGCTTGCCGAAGGTGGTGTTGTCCATCTTGCCATTGAGCGAGATGTTGTTCTGGATCTCCGGGCTGCTGTGGATGCGGTGCAGGATGTAGCCCTGCAGATCCTGGTCGATGGCGTCGTTCTCATCCAGGCTGTCCAGAGAGATGCGGTGAAACGGTAACGCGTTGGTGATCTCCTGAAGAGTCAGAATCATTTCAGTCAGGAACTTGCACAGAGACAGCTGACTATTGTTAACCAAAACATTTAAAACCTTAACACTCATGCACCAAAACCTGGATATTACCGCACCAACATGTCAAAAACCTAGATGTTAACGCACCAAAGTGTAAAAACCCAGGATATTAAGGCAGCAAAACCTCACAACCTAGATAATAAAACCAGGATAATAACTCTCCCAAATGTCAAAACCTAGCATAATAATACAGCAAAGCCTCACAAAGAATGGATCTTAACGCATGACAATGTCAAAAATCAGATCAGGATACCAACAAACCAAAACATCACAAACCTGGATATTAATGCCCTCAGACATCAAAAAACTGGATCCGAATGCACCAAGATGTCAAAAAGCTGGATATTAATGCCCTAAAACAT